TCTGGTGACGGTATTCCTCAGCCCTTCTGTTCTTGAGGACAGGGAACAAGGATCCCGGTCTGGGCTGGAGCAGGGCAGGCGAGGCACATCTGCAGAGCCCACGCTGCAGATGCTGGAGGAGAACTCTTCCAGCCTGGGTCCTGGGGCTTGGGGGTTGTCCTCACCCAAGCGCTCTCCAATCTTCCAAAGGAAGAGCGATCTCCTGCCTGGTGAGTCTTGGAAAATTGGTTGCCTCCTCTTCTTCCCCAATACAACCGGGTTTGGCAATGGACAGGCAAAAGGCAGGATCGCTTTTGGCACTATCTGCTTCTTCCCCAGGAATCCTCCATTTTCCATCCCTAATTTCACAAAATTTTACAGGTAGTAAGATTCATGTCTTTTTTTTTTCCTAATATTTTTTTCCTTTGCTCACACCAACATCTATCCACAGGCAGCTCCTACCATATCTGGGCAGCTTTTCCAGCCAAGTAGAAGAAGAACCAAGTCCTCCAGGTGGTCCTCCAACCCCACTGCCCAGCACTGAACATCCTTGCAAAGTGTTCAAGGTTCACAGTGCAGCTCAGTGGTGCCAAGACACTAAAATAGTGATTTTTCCATAACTCAATTCTGCAGCCCTTAACGTGTGTCTGAATAGTAAATTCTTTCTTTGGGATTTTTCTTTAAAAGCTACAAGCTACTCGTTGTTCTAGTTTATTATTTAAGCTGATATTCTCACAAACCCTGTAAGAACATTGTATTTTGACATTGCTCCTCACATTCACTCTTATCCAGAAGAGGATGAAAAGTTTCTTTTTAAGCCCGTGGGCTACCAAGACCACAGATCAGCAAAAATGTGTTTCCATTTTACCTCAACCAGCAAAAAATTGCCTCAAAACCAGATTGCACTTGCGTGTGTCTGCAAAAAATGGGCTACTAAATCACATGGTGGCACCTACGGGATCTCCCAACGTCTTGGGTCAAATGATTGGGAAAAAAAAAAAGAAATGGCTGAAGTGGAAAAGGAGAAAAAAAAGGAGAGAAAACCAAGAGCAATGGAGGGATGAAGCATTTCACTTTGTCAGGAAAAAAAAAAAGAGTGAAAGGCTGAATGTCTTGAGGATATTGTACAATCGCTGGTCTTGCTTTGGTCTAAAGCAGTCAATTTTGGGGAGGGTTTGGTTTTTTTTTTACATATTAGTGGCCATAGTGTGCGGAACCAATACTTCCAGAAACTGCGTTTGAGTATGACCCACAAAATGTCACGTTTCAGATGCTGGTGCACACAGTAAGGACTTTCTTTTTTTTTCCAGGAAAACACCAATTCCCCTACTTCCTGGGCCAAGGAAATTTTCCATTTAGTCAGCAAAATGTTGCAATGAATCATTTTCAAAATTACCCAGTTTTCCACCGACTGCCCTACTCCTAACCTGATGGCTCTCCTTTTACAGGAGTCTGAGGGGAAGGCGACTCCCAACCCTTCATCCCTTGTGGGGAAGAGGGAATTTGGCCGATTTCAAAGGGCAATGAAGAAGGAGAAACGGGGAAAAGATGTAAAATAAAAATCCTTCTGTGGAGGAAGAGAAAGCAACAGCCTCACCGAGGGAATGCCCCCAGAAAAGTAAGTTTGCCCTGGCCTGGCTGCCTTGAGGGTTGAACCTTCAGTGGTGGAACCTTAGGAGAAGGTTGAACCTTCAGTGGTGGAACCTTAGGAGAAGGTTGAACCTTCAGTGGTGGAACCTTAGGGAAAGGTTGAACCTTCAGTGGTGGAACCTTCAGTGGTGGAACCTTGGGAGAGGGTTGAACCTTCAGTGGTGGAACCTTCAGTGGTGGAACCTTAGGAGAAGGTTGAACCTTCAGTGGTGGAACCTTCAGTGGTGGAACCTTGGGAGAGGGTTGAACCTTCAGTGGTGGAACCTTCAGTGGTGGAACCTTAGGGAAAGGTTGAACCTTCAGTGGTGGAACCTTCAGTGGTGGAACCTTGGGAGAGGGTTGAACTTCGGGTGGTTGAAGGGCAGAGACGGCCACCAAAGCCACCAAGAGGATCATTCCCTCCTGGGTCCCAGGACTGATCCCAGGCTGACCAGCGGTTTCCTTCGCTGGCGGGGACAGTACCACACCCCAACGGGGAAGGGAGCAGATCCCAGAATGCGACGGCCAGCCCGATTTCACCACTTTTCTCCCCAAAGTGCCACCCGTTTCCGTTCCACCCTGTAGTACCGCGGCCGCATCTCAGCTCCAGACAAGGCGGGAGCGGGACCGCGCTCAGCCCACACCGCAGGGGTTGGGAACTTCCTCCGCTGAATTAAATGATGGTTTTGATTGTGACAAGTTTTTGGGGAGGGGTTAAGGTTAAAAGTACCAGATGCCTTTCCGGTCTCCACAGACCCACCCTCAGACATCTTGGTCCTCTGTGGATCCCTCCAGATGCCAGGTGGGACCCTGAAGGACCAGAAGAGGATCCAGGCGTCAGGGCGGTGGATTTGTAGAGGACCCCGGTGTTCGGGTGGGATCAGTAGAGGAGCGCCCATGGGTGGGGCTGCCCCCAGCCCCACAGGAGCTCTGCCCTCCAGCACTGGCTTTGGGGGGACCCTGGGACACACAGCCCCAACACCCCCCACACCCCTCAGCAACACCCCACATGCACCCCAACAGCCCATCCTGAAATATCAGGTGGACACAGCCAGTGCACCCCACCTACACCCCAAATGCTCCCCTCAATCCCAGCTGCACACCTACAGCTCTGCGACACCCCAAAGTACACCCCAACTACATCCATACACCCCAACTGCACCTGGAGTACACCTGACTGCAACCCAAAACACACCCCTGTCCCCCAACTACACCCTGACTACACCAATATGCCCCAACTACACCCAACTGCACCCCAGACACACCCCTGTCACCCAACTACACCCCAACTACACCCATACAACCCAACTGCACATAATTACACCCTGCCATGGACAACCACCCTCAAACCTGCACAGCCATGCACTGCTGCGCTGCCCCAGCACCCCCAAACCCACCCTCACCCCCTGTGCAGGGGGTGCCACTGGCGTCGGGGCCCTCATTAGGGCCCCTCATTACAGCGCCTCGTTAAGGCCGCAGGAACTGCGAAACCGGTGGTTTATTTCAAACCTTTGGCTACCTGTGACAGCGCCCAGATAGGGGATGGGGGGGGCAGCCAGCTCCCCGACTTCCCCCCAAAAATACCCCAAAAAACAAGGCCTGCCAAACCCCCCCAAAATGCCCCCAAACCAGGGCCTGGTCCTACCCCCTCCCCAAGGCCCAAAATCTTCCCAAAATGCCCCAAAACCAGAGCTTGGTGTGCCCCCCCGCCCCAAAAGGGCCCAAAATCCCCCCAAAATGCCCCCAGACCAGGGCCTGGTCTCAGTCCCCCACACCCAGGGCTCCCCAACCCTCCTGAGACCCCAAATTCCCCTGAAATGCCCCAAAATGTTCTTGGTCAAAGGGGGTCCTGCTGCGGACCCTGGTTCTGCCCCAGAACCCCCAAATCCCCTATGGGGAAATGAGGTCCCCCCATACCTCCCCCAAAGCCCCTATGGAGGATTTGGGGTCTCTCTGTCCTGGTGGGGTTCCTCCCCTCCAGAGCACCCATGGGTGCCCCTGAACGGTGGGTCTGGGGTGCAGGGGGGGGGCCTCCGGGGACCTCCTGGTGACAGGGACAGGCAGTGGCAGCGGAGGGGTCCCGGTGACCTTGCGTCCCCTCACTTTGCTGTCATCATCTGCACGACCTCTGCCAGGAGAGAGGAAGGGTCAGTGGGGACGGGGACACAGCAGGGACATGATGGGGATGAGGACACCATGGGGACACAGCAGGGATGGGGACGTGACACGGACAGGAACACGGCAAGGACAGGGGACACGGGCACAGCAGGGATGGGAACAGGGGACACTGCAGGGCCCGTGGGCATGGGGGACACAGCAGGGACAGGGAACACTGTGGGGTCCCAAGCTGGCAGGGACAGAGGACACGATGGGGTCCCCAGAATGAGGTGACACAGTGGGGTCTGGTCCCTTGGAGATGGGGAACATGGTGGGATCCCACATTCGCGGTGACAGGAGATATGGATGCTGTCCCCATCCCCATGCCTGTCCCTGCTGTGTCCCCATCCCCAGTGCAAGGCTCTTGCCAGGGGTGACAAGGGACACGGTGGTGACCCAGGCTGGCGGTGACAGGGGGCACAGTTGGTGATAGGGAACGCGGTGCGGCACCAGGGGATGAGGAGCCCCGTGGGTGGGTGCCAGCAAGGACCTGTGGGGTGACAGAGGAGACACTGGGTGACAGCAACGTGACAATGACACTCACCCTCGTAGTTGACCTGTCCATCGCCATCGATGTCGGCCTCTCGCATCATCTCGTCCACCTCGTCCGTCTGTCACCTTCTCCCCCAGGCTGGCCATCACGTGCCGCAGCTCTGCCGCGCTGATGTACCCGTTCCCGTCCTAGGGCTGGGGAGACGGCGGGGCCACCGCTGCTTCGCCCATGCCCCTGCCCCCATCCCAGTCCCCGACCCACCTTGTCGAAGACATGGGAAGCCTCGCAGATCTCCTCCTCACTGTCCGTGTCCTTCATCTTCCTCGCCACCGCGGTGAGGAACTCGGGGAAGTTGGTCGTGCTGTTGCCTGGGGCCGGGGGAGGGGAACAGAGGGACAGTGGGCAAGGGGACAGGCGGACAAGGGGCCACCTCGTTGATCATGTCCTGCAGCTCGGCCTTGGCGGGGTTCTGGCCCAGCGAGGGCATGACGGGGCCCAGCTCCTTGGTGGCGATGGTGCCATCCCCGTCTTTGCTGAAGAGTGAGAACACCTCCTTGAACTCTGGGGACCGTCACC